CGGCCAAGGCTTGCCTACAGAGGCGAGCCAGGGCTGTGCGGCAAAACCGTAGTGGGTTCGAATCCCGCACGCGGCAGGAAAATTCTTTCGAATTTTCCTGTCGTACCATGGATGTTTGTGATTGTTAAGGTGGAGGGTAGTGTAGGTTAGCAGGCAAAAAGGGCCAAGCATGGCCTAATTGCTGGTAAGTTCATTGCCTTTACCTTTTTTTAACATTCGATATGTTATAAGCGGCAACAGAAATTGTTAATCCATGCTGAACATCCTGCGTAGAAATGATAACGTTTTTGGTAGTGGAGTTTGGCATTTTGCGGCAATTTTAACCTGAGAATCCGTAGACTTGTCGACGTACCCTTCCGCTATGCTGGAAGATTTCCACCCCCCTAATTTCTTTAACTGGAGAATGTTACCACCACTATTTACCATTAGTGTGGTTGCCGTTCTTCGGAAGCAGTGTACCGTGTATATTTCACAATGGGGAAGCTTTAGAAACACTGCAATTTTTTTGGGAAATTGACTTATCGAGTTGTGGCCAAATGGCTGACTACTGATTTTACCGAATCTTAATTGTAAAAAGGAGTTTTCATTCTAAACGAAGTGTTGCATATATTTTAATTAACTTTACCCATTCTTCATTAAAATACTCTTGGCTGGTAAGTTTTTGATGTTGGAATTTCGATGTGAATCTTATTTTCCACGATATTAAAATTAGTCAATTTCATTTTATATAGTTGCATTCTTCAAAAACGCCGCAGTGTTCTCACTGGAGAAAGTGCTTGACTTTTTGGATACATATCCCAGATTTTGTTGTTTCAGAAATGTCAATAATTTCGAAAATTTGGAGATATGCACTTTATCTTTAATATTTAAAGTAGAAAGCAACATTGAGTAAATGGACCAAAGTGTTGACAGCTTTTTGATTTTGTCATTTTTTCTAAAATATGCCAGAACAATAGTTTCAGAAACAGCTTTCTGAACACCTCTCTGAGCACCAACTCTTGAAAACATCATAAACTTTATCATACCTTGCACGACTATTCTTAAGTTAGTTTAACACAAGAGCGTTCGTTGAAGTATCACAACATGTGATATAGAAAACTTCTTTTTCTATTGTATTGTTTTCTGATTTTGACATTGGGCAAAAATCTATTAAATTTTAATTTACACTTGTGCATTTGCATTCTAATTTAGTTCATATTAATTAATAATTAAAATGCTTGACGAAGTACCCAAATTGAGTATGTATTTAATTGTCGTACAATATGTACTGGCCAGGATTCATTCCAGGTTAGTGAACTGCAAGGTATCAGGGTCGATGTTCGATCACATTGCTTGATGGGTTCGCAGAGATCTTCTAACAAAATCCACCTTATTTATAACACCCTGGATCTTAGTAAGGAGGCACATTTCATCTAAGCAATTTAAGTAATAATTTCATATTTTGAGTCAAGGATTATCTTCTTGGCATATGCGCAATTATTAAAGGCGCACCATTTCCTAATATAAAATTATCCAAACGTCTAAAATTATAGAATAAAACGCAACACAGTAATAAATCAATATACCTAAATTAGAAAGGACCCGTGGATATTTAACTGCAAATTAATTAACTTCATAGTAAAGTTTTTACTAATGACTTACAGTCGACTTTATTGTTTTATTAATGTTTCTACTTTTTACATCCTGTAGTTATGAATACATGATTCGCCAGAAGTTAAACACAACCTCAACACCTTCGCACACTTTCTCATGTTATTCTTGACAAAGTTTGCATCAAATTCTCTCACCCTCTTGTACGTTTTATGTCGAAATATCGTCTACAAAACTTTTGATTTACAAGTCATTCATGGGGTCGTCAGCGACTGGATAATTTCTGAGTTCCTAAACCGACTATGTGGCAACCAGCTCGGTAATCATCAAGCCACCTACCACAGAACTTCCTGCTGAAGTTACATTTGTAATAAGTGTCACAAATCGGACACACGTGCATGCAAACTGCATGAAAGCTTTACCGAATTCATTGTTGTAGATGATTTAAATGAGATATGGGGGTTTTTGGGTATAGAAATGGTAATGAAGCTGCATCAAAGCATTTACCTCTCATTAATGAATTCTTGATGTTTTTTGTCTTTATCAGCAAAATCTTATGCATACAAACATAATTATGTCGTCGAACGCTTTGTTTTCGAGAACAAGGTGTTGGAATTTAAGGACATTGCAAAAAAAATGAAGATATAACTAGGCAAAATTTCCGTATTCGTAAATTTAGTATTTGATTTACTGAAAATATACTTTTCTTGCAAATCTATTGTTGATTTAAATGAATACTACGTATTTGTTGTATATTAGTGTGAGAATTTGTAGTAACAACCTAAATATTCATTCCATTTTTCATAAAAATTTTTATTAAATCCGAATTATTTGCTCGTAGCTAAGTTAACATATTTGTTTCAATTTCAAATGATACCAATAACAATTCCTTATAAAGAAAACATGTTATTTAAAACATTAAAGAAGAGCACTTCTGTTTCAGTAAAAAAGTAATAACGTTATTTAAAAAAATTGATAATGTTTCTTAATGTCAATTTTGTATTAAATTGGTTTATGTACACCAAACATCCTTTTTTGTACACTGTCTGAATGTTAAAATTAAGATATTTTAAATGTATGTGTGTATATTTTTTTGTATGTTATTATTCCATAATTAAAACATTTTTTTTATGTTGTTTTGAAAACTATTTAATATTATTAAGCCAATATAGGAACTGCACCTATTATTGCAGTAACAAAAGTTATTTTTTCACTATAACAATGAAACGACCCCTAAATAATAAATATATATCTCTACCTAAAAAGTATTTAAAATATTTCAAAAGTTTATATTTCAAATGTTTAACAAATTTTCTTCCATGGAAATTAATGTTTTTTTGAATTTTCATGTTTCTCTTCGCAATCTTTAAAGGCAGGTAATGTTGTTTTATATTGTTAGAAACACACTAATTATCAGCGAATATTATAATATGTTACATTAAATACAAGTTTTTAAATTACAATATAAAAGGTTTATAAAGCACTTAAAACAGCTAGTTAATAAGGGCGTCTGCCGTCGAATGTTGAATGCCGAATGCTGAATGGTGAATGTATGGTTCCATGTGTCTTATCTGCCCTAGCCGAGGAATTTGTTTATTTTACTTAGCCCTTGCCTCTTGGGTTAAGTGTTCACATTATCGGTCTTCGCTCGATTTCTAACAATATATTTTTTAATGTTAGGAGATGGAAATAGTGTAATGTAAGAGCCAAGCAGAGCAATATTTGACCAAAGATATGTGAAGCTGGAACGTGTTTGTGACTAAAAGGTTTCACAGCCTGTTTCATAAACACAAAAATTTTATCAAAATTTAAGTTTCCAATAAATGTTGACTTGGAAGAAAAAGTGTAATAAATATGCTTAGCAGAAGTATGTCAATATACAGGATGTTTCATAAATTACTTTCTAAACACCTCCTTAAAATATTTATACATCATTATGAAACACCCTGTATAGCTCTAAAGTAAATATAACAATTCAGTTCAGTTCACTATAATTTAAAAAATCCTCAAACAAAATTATGACTAGTTTGGATACCTATGAGACGAGATATTAATAAAATAATTATTCACGATTTACTTATGAGAATGCAGATTTTTTTGATCTTTCCACTTAGAATGCGCAACAATTGACGAACAGTTCTACAGCAACTTGTATAAATAGGAAACCGATATCTAAGGAACCATATTATAGCTCGTATAAATCGATTAGGTACTTGTAAGATACATAATTTATAATAAATTCTCCTTCAAACTGCTGTCGTTGACTAACTTATCCTTAATATGCGTGATAGCGGCAACGCCGCGGTCTCGATGTAGCGTATTATTAGAAATTTGCAGGTGTCCAAGCAAAAAGAATTATCGAACGCGAGCGAGCGAACGCCAAGTCAAGCGCGCCAGCCAAGTGCAACGTTGACAAATCTAAAGGCTTACTACTTTAGTCACTAACGAATCTACAGAAACTCTCGTTAGACTTTAGATGTACCTCCGTACCCGATAAACCTCCTTAAGAGATACCTATTTACATAAATGTGATACATATTTATTTAATTTCAACTCTTAAAAATTAAGCAGTCTACGACATTTTGTAATGTAACCTTTGGAATGTTCAATTCAGTACATCCAATAATATTACGACAATCCACCTAAAATGATTGGATGTCGTCCATTGTAAGGACAAACGTACTGTTGTAATAATACTCTAGTTTTTATTTTTACATATTACCATTGATTTTATAAGCTAATTGATTTTGTAAGCTACGCTAAGGTAGTTCAAAGTAAGGGCTTGCCTACAAATTTTGACTTTTGTACGGCTATCAGGATCTAGGGGGCATTTCAATCGACGCCTTCAGATCTAACAAATTACGCATTTATTATTATTTTTGGTTAGGTACATATAATACTATTAGGCCCGGTACTTTGAGTCTCGGTTAAGGCTCGATTAACTAATCAGGCGATTAGACTGTGATCATTACATGTACAGTCTAATCGCCTGATCAGTTAATCAAGCTTTAATCGAGACTCAAAGTACCGGGTCTTAGTATCCTATTATAACTGTTTAAGTAACAATTTATCCCTTTTTAAGACATGCTTTCTTAGATCTGACAACGTTGTCCTTGATCCTCTTGTTCGTGACTTAGCTTACAGTCCGTACAATATTTGTCGAAATAGAATTCCAAGAAGATCCCTGCGTCACTTTCTTGGAATTAACAGCAAATTCTTATCTCTATTCTTAAATTCTTACAGTAGTTCCGATAACAGAAGTGTTATTGGCTTATTCTTTTCTTAAATTTGTTGATGAAAAATTATTTATTATTGCTTATAGCTACAGTTACAATTTCGGTGAAATGGAACATAAAACATTTTATACCGTTAGACTAGTTAGGTTATTCTACGTAAAGTAACTTAGGTATTTAAAATATGTCCATTTGGGCATCATAATCGTCGTCATCCTCCTCCATGTTGTTATTTACAATATCCTCCCAAATGTGGTCTACAGTAACTGGTACGTTGACTGCATTGTTGTTCCCAATATTGAACAGTTCATTAATGGATATTTTTCTGTGAGAAGTAAACAACGTTGCTGCGTCGTAAGTGTTACTACTGACAATGGATTCGATCAGTGCCCTCATTTGCTTCTGACTGACAGGCCCATAGTAACTACATTTCTTTGTAATGCCGAAATGTTTTCTTTTAGAAAGCAGTTTGAAGAACTTACACGACTGTATCTTGATTCCACTAAAATAGAGGTTGTTTAGGTATTTACACCTAGTCAGTAAACGACAGAGATTTTGACTTTTCACTAGGCTGGAATTTTTGGTCCCCCTGCAGTTCTCAATTTTCAGCGACTGTAAGTTTTTGCAGTATTTGGACAATTTCTCTGTAACAGTATTAATGTCACTTCTTTCTCTAAGGTTAACCTCTTTAAGTAATGGTGAGTTTTCGATCCACTTACACAAAATGTTAGACGGCACTTCATTTTGAGCGGTAATTTTTTTCCACAGGACAGGTGATGATGTTAACATATACCATCTCTTACAAACACAACGAGCGATTTTGTACAATTCCTTGTGCGACAAAAACGAGAAAATGTAGAGCAGAATTTCATTTGGCAGACTGGCGGAGTAATCGCAGTTTCGTAAACGCTTCGCCGGGATGAAAGCTTCCGAGTAGGGCATGTGGGCTTTGCTTTGGTTGCGTAATATGTAACTATTTCTGGTTTGCGCGAACATTCTGCATATTTATTGTAGTTTTTACTAAAATTTGACAGCGGTTGATCATGCGAAGGTGACAAGTCATTGTTTCAAGGACACCGGGATTCCATGTGTGACAGATCTGGGACATCTGTCATTCAGAAGATAGTTTATCGGATAGTGTCTTGCAAACCTAGAAAGTATTGCTGCGTGAGACTGAGGCTGTCATATATTTGACAGTATAGACTGGTTATAAGTATGCCTCAGATATCGTATCGATTGGTTCCTAAGTACGTTCCGATAATAAATTTGATACTCTCCTAGAAAAATTCATTTCTGATTTGTAAAATAACACAGCGTCACAAAAAAGTGGGGTGGGTCATAGACCGAACCAATTAATCTTAAAGTGTTTCGACTGAATTTGAATTTAAAATCAGAATTTCCAGATCAGTTCCTGTTTTGGTCATAACATCATAGTCTAGTTGCTAGAGGTTTTGTGGCGGCAATAATTCCGAAGAGCACAATTTTTTGCAGGTGACTAGTAATTTGCTAATAGATAAGGAAAAAAATTGTTCAGTACGGAAGCGGACCGGAAACATTCTAGGAATGGTCGGAAAACTGCAAAGAAACGTATTTCTTGAATAAAAAATATTGAGAATTTCACAAACATGCAAAGGAACAAAGGCAAAAGTGATGGCTCCACTTTTTTATATAGCCTAAAAATATGAATGAAATAAAACACAGGATAATTTTTGCCAGAATCGATTCATACAAAATGCTTGTCGCATTTCGGTATTGCTAAATATTTACCCAATTTGTTTTAGTTGGTTGTCCCATTAACTTTGTAAAAAAGTTCGACTGCCTACTATACTAAACTGTATTCACGAAGATCCCATATAGTTTTCTTAAGAAAAGATTTAACGCCAACTTTAAATACAATTTTGATTAGGACGACTGGACTATCAGCAAACTCCTTTGGAAAGCGGTTTTCGAGATTTCAAAGCAAGTAGAGTAGTCAGTGATGAAGTTGATCAACAAGATTTCGGAATGATTTATTATAGGAGCATCATTTATGCCAATTCTAAGCATTTTTATAATTTTATGAAAACTGCATTAACAATTTAAATAAGAAAACTACCATTTGGTTTTTGAATTTGCCTTTTACTGATTACGTATTTGATAAATTAGGTATATTAATAGTAAAAGATCAACCATTAAATTCACTTTAAGATAGAAAATATAAATATGTTAATTACCCTTTCTAGACATTTTAATTAAAAGAAATGAAAATTCTTTCGAAACAGGCGTTTATAGGAAAATAACTCACCTTAACTAGCGTTTGGTTTAAATTTTGATTATCGTTATACCGCTAAAAAGAAAGGTGTAAGTAAATGTTTATATGATAGAGCCAAAAAGTCTAAATCTAAAAGTCTAGTCTAAATTTTAATTATCGTCATACCGCTAAAAAGAAAGGTGTAAGTAAATGTTTATATGTTAGAGCCAAAAAGTCAATACTCGGGAAATCTTGTAGATATTAAGAATACTGCAAGTAAAACAAATTCTATAATACAACAAAAAGAACCAACACAACAAAAATTCCATATATTTCTGTATTATCAGAAAAATTATAGAGCAAAATTTTTGGAAATTCAATAAATTGTAGTCATAGCATCCAATAATCATGATCTTATAGAAACCTCCCATTTAACCTTTGTTAAAAAAGTTGTAACATTATGGGGTAAGGAGTTTGGCATTAAGTCTTATCTACAGGAGAGATCACAATGTGTTACGTCCAGTAATAATTATGCATCCAAAGTATGAAATAATTCAGCACGGTGTACCGCAGGGATCCATTATTGGACCAATATTAATTTTAATTTTTATTAATGACACATTATTTTTTATCACCTGAAAAATGTATTTTATTTGCCGACGGCACCACTTTNTGGTCCCCCTGCAGTTCTCAATTTTCAGCGACTGTAAGTTTTTGCAGTATTTGGACAATTTCTCTGTAACAGTATTAATGTCACTTCTTTCTCTAAGGTTAACCTCTTTAAGTAATGGTGAGTTTTCGATCCACTTACACAAAATATTAGACGGCACTTCATTTTGAGCGGTAATTTTTTTCCACAGGACAGGTGATGATGTTAACATATACCATCTCTTACAAACACAACGAGCGATTTTGTACAATTCCTTGTGCGACAAAAACGAGAAAATGTAGAGCAGAATTTCATTTGGCAGACTGGCGGAGTAATCGCAGTTTCGTAAACGCTTCGCCGGGATGAAAGCTTCCGAGTAGGGCATGTGGGCTTTGCTTTGGTTGCGTAATATGTAACTATTTCTGGTTTGCGCGAACATTCTGCATATTTATTGTAGTTTTTACTAAAATTTGACAGCGGTTGATCATGCGAAGGTGACAAGTCATTGTTTCAAGGACACCGGGATTCCATGTGTGACAGATCTGGGACATCTGTCATTCAGAAGATAGTTTATCGGATAGTGTCTTGCAAACCTAGAAAGTATTGCTGCGTGAGACTGAGGATGTCATATATTTGACAGTATAGACTGGTCATAAGTATGAGGTTTTGTGACGGCAATAATTCCGAAGAGCACAATTTTTTGCAGGTGACTAGTAATTTGTTAATAGATAAGGAAAAAAATTGTTCAGTACGGAAGCGGACTGGAAACATTCGGGGGAATGGTCGGAAAACTGCAAAGAAACGTATTTCTTAAATAAAAAATATTGAGAATTTCACAAACATGCAGAGGAACAAAGGCTAAAGTGATGGCTCCACTTTTTTATATAGCCTAAAAATATGAATGAAATAAAACACAAGATAATTTTTGCCAGGATCGATTCATACAAAATGCTTGTCACATTTCGGTATTGCTAAATATTTACCCAATTTGCCAATTTGGTTGTCCCATTAACTTTATAAAATAGTTCGACTGCCTACTAAGCTGTATTCGCGAAGATCCCACATAGTTTTCTTAAGAAATGAATTAATGCCAACTTTAAATACAATTTTGGTTAGGACGACTGGACTATCAGCAAACTACTTTGGAAAGCGGTTTCCGACATTTCAAAGCAAGTATAGCAGTCAGTGATGAAGTTGATCAACAAAATTTCTTAATGATTATAGGAGCATCATTTATGCCAATTCTAAGCATCTTTTTATAATTTTATGAAAACTGCATTAACAATTTAGATAAGATAACTACAATTTCTTTTTTGCATTTGCCTTTTACTGTTGAGGAATTACGTATTTGATAAATTAGGTATATTAATAGTAAAAGATCAACCATTAAATTCACTTTAAGATAGAAAATATAAATATGTTAATTACCCTTTCTAGACATTTTAATTAAAAGAAATGAAAATTCTTTCGAAACAGGCGTTTATAGGAAAATAACTCACCTTAACTAGCGTTTGGTTTAAATTTTGATTATCGTTATACCGCTAAAAAGAAAGGTGTAAGTAAATGTTTATATGATAGAGCCAAAAAGTCTAAATCTAAAAGTCTAGTCTAAATTTTAATTATCGTCATACCGCTAAAAAGAAAGGTGTAAGTAAATGTTTATATGTTAGAGCCAAAAAGTCAATACTCGGGAAATCTTGTAGATATTAAGAATACTGCAAGTAAAACAAATTCTATAATACAACAAAAAGAACCAACACAACAAAAATTCCATATATTTCTGTATTATCAGAAAAATTATAGAGCAAAATTTTTGGAAATTCAATAAATTGTAGTCATAGCATCCAATAATCATGATCTTATAGAAACCTCCCATTTAACCTTTGTTAAAAAAGTTGTAACATTATGGGGTAAGGAGTTTGGCATTAAGTCTTATCTACAGGAGAGATCACAATGTGTTACGTCCAGTAATAATTATGCATCCAAAGTATGAAATAATTCAGCACGGTGTACCGCAGGGATCCATTATTGGACCAATATTAATTTTAATTTTTATTAATGACACATTATTTTTTATCACCTGAAAAATGTATTTTATTTGCCGACGGCACCACTTTAATTGTAACACAAGAATTTTTCACAGTTAAAAATAGTTTCAGAACAGATAAAAAACCAGGCTGAAAAGCAGTTTACTAGTAATACACTCAAAGAAAAAAAAACAGAAACTTGGTAGCTAAAAGTTTTTTGGATTGTATGTTTATAAAATTTTAACTTTTATCTTGTATATAATTTTTTTTATTTTAATATGTTTTACTTACAAATATGTATGTTTTTTATTGTAAAATACGAATCAAGAAGGAGTTGATATAGTTAGAGACGACTTTTTGTCAAGAGCAAAGAAAATCTATCTATCAGATAGATTACGCCGACTTATAAGTAACGAATAAGAAAATGTTTGTCAGATTCGTTCAACATTTAACAAAATCTTAAGTGTTATAAAAATCAGATGATTAAACACATTATTTATTTATTTTTGTATATTTCATTTATCATTATAGACTACTGCTTGAGTTTCCTGCTAGGTTACTTGTTAAATATTTTTTCATAGTTTATCTTATATAAAAGAAGTAAATGTTCGTTTCTGTGGGAAATTTGCTTTTTAATAACCTTTTTTTTAAATATAAGATCTGACAACAATGCACAGCCCAATTCCCAATTCTGCATGCTCTGCGACTAAAGCGCGCCATAGTTTGAACTAGCTTATCCAGAGGCGGGCTAAGAAAGTTACGAAAAAAATGATAAACAAATACATACTAAATAATTTTAAAAAATAAACTATTGATACATGTTCCTAAAGATCAAATTGCTTTAACGTTGGCTACAAATATTGAACATAGTAATAATAAACACCATGTGATATCAGATAGACAAAGAAAAATAAACTGTCCCAGTTTAAATAATAAAAATATATTTCTTTTTCGAAACGTTATACAGAATTATAATTGAAGTGTGTGACTTCTGTTTTCAGTTTGTTTGTTTTTTTTTTTTCAATGTGATATGTTTAATTAAGAAAAGTAGTTCAGTATAAATAACCCTAGATTGATCTATTTGCGACAG